ACACCCGCCCACGCTCCTATACGTGAGTGGTTGTGGTCACGGCAAACAAAATGGCGGCTTACACATATGACAAAGCTAAGAGCTTTCTAACAGCAAGAGAGCATAGAGATACTGTCTAAAGACTTCTCTAGAAGCATTATAAGGTAGAGAGAACCTCTATAAGTCTTAGTAATGACCAAGTTGTACTTGCAAGGTGGTGAAATCAATTATAGGAATATTTTTTACCCTGTTACACTTGTTGTTTTTCTATTCATCCTCAAACTCGCAAAATTTAATTGTCCCAGAGGTGATATCTATTAACCATTGACTCATAATCATTAACCTATATGTGCACATTCATCAATAAAATACATTTATTCTCTCTCTTAGTTTTTGTATCAAAATTAAATTAATTAAAGTTTATTTGTAATAGGATGATGGCAGCACTCCATTACACTATGCTGGTGAAAGTGGTAATGCTAAAATTATTGAATTATTAATAACTAAAGGAAATGCTGATGTGAATGCTGTGGATGAAGTAATGTTATTAAAATACCATATACCGGTTTATTTTCGCAGTAGAAAATTTATGCAAATTTTTCATTTCTAAGATTTCACGGAATTAAATTTTGCTAATAGCTTGCAGACTGCACCACGTGGCAATGGAATTGCAGAATTTTGTGGTGGGAAATTTCACAACCGAGCAAGAAACCGCGAAGTTTGCGAAAATATTTTACCACCAAAATAAACCGGTATACGGTAGTCATTTTTAATTGTATCATTTTCTGTTTTATTTAAGGATGACAGAACTCCTTTGTTTAATGCTGTTAAGAGTGGTAGTATTGAAGCTGTTAATATTCTATTTGCTAATGGAGCTAGAACTGATGTAGTGTCTAAAGTTAGTAGAATTCTACTTAATTTTTCAAGAGTCTGGCCAGTCTTGTTTTGATTTTGAAATGGTAGTGGTATACTCTTTTAATCATTGTTCATGTAGGATGGTAAAACTCTATTACATTGTGCTGGTGAATCTGGTAATGTTGAAATGATTGAGTTTTGGATTAAGAGAGGAGATTATGATGTGAATGTTCAAGATAATGTAAATTCATTCAAATAATTATCAGTCACTTTATGCTATATTATAGGACAATATAACTCCATTGTTTCATGCTGTTGAGAGTGGTAGTATTGAAGCTGTTAATATTCTATTAAATAATGGAGCTAGAACTGATGTTGTGTCTGAAGCTAATTTATTGGTGAACAAAAATTGAAATGTGTATATGTGCATGCATCATGTCTATTTTGAGCTGCATAAGAATCATGTGTTGCTACGCAAGCCTTATTTTGTAGTTCCTACAGAGGTGATACCCTTTAACCATTGACTCATAATTGTTTACCTGACATCCATCAATAATTAAAATTTTGTCTTTCTTAGATTTTTGTATTAAAATTAAATTAATTAAAGTTTATCTATATAATAGGATGATAGCAGAACACCATTACACTGTGCTAGTGAAAGTGGTAATGCTAAAATTATTGAATTGTTAATAACTAAAGGAAATGCTGATGTGAATGTTGTAGATGAGGTATGAAGCCATTAAAAATTGCATCATTTGTATTGTATTTATAGAATGACAGAACTCCATTGTTTAATGCTGTTAAGAAAGGTAGCATTGAAGCTGTTGATATTCTATTAGCTAATGGAGCTAGAACTGATGTTGTGGTAAAATTCTACTTAATTTTTAATTTTACACAATATGCTTGATAAGTGTAGTTATACTTAATAATTTAATATGATCATCAGTTCATTAAACAATCTTGTTAAGTCATCCTTGAATGATTTCAGAGATACTTAAATTATGGGAGGATATTGCACATCGCTTTTGTATTGCTATTGCAATATCCACCATTAGAGATGCTAAGGAGAGACTACACAGGATTGATAAATAAGCAAAATTTTACAGCAGCAATTTGCTAGTTATATGAGCTGCCATATTCATGGGTATGCTTGAATATGCATGTTTCATCAT